CATGTGTGTACAGCCCAGGAAAAAAGAAATAGCAAGATAATGACACCTGTTGTTCCAGAGCAAAGGGTGATATGGTAAACTTACAAAACGGCTGTGTGTATATATATGTGTACCTCAAACGTGAAGTAAAGACACGCTAGCCTATAGCAGAAGCAAACACCAAAGACTAGTGAAAGTCAAGTGAAGCTCTGTGCTGGGGAGAGGCCCTGTGCAGCATAATAATTAGGTTATAGACAGGAGTTAAAAATGAAGAAGACCTGCTTTTTATTTCCTACTCTGCCATCTACTGTGTGATCTAAGGAAATGCAGCGAACTCTTTAAGCAATGCTATCCTGTAAACTGAGTGGACAAGCATAAATCGTCTGTGGTAGGTGCTCTGGCATCTTTAAACCAATTAATACCAATTAGTATGGGAGTGATTTTCTTGTTTAGTTGGGTTTTGGGTTTGGTTGGGTTTGGTGCTTTTTTTTCTCTTTTTTTCTCTCTTTCCCCGCCCCCCCCCAGCTTCCATAAACCTTACTGACTCGGCTGCATGGAGTGCCAGTCTCCTGACTTTTTTCTAATACCTCTTTTGTTGTGGAGCCTGATAGGAAGTCCAGGACAAGAGCAACGATAGAAATGCAATTGCAGCACACACACTTCTGGTGCCCAGATAACTGCAGGTTCTCCTGGCCCTGGCTGTGTGTGTTCATGACAAGTAGAAACCGAAGAAAGACTTCACATCGTTGGCCTCTCTGATGTTATGAGGCAGCTCTTTGTGTAGTTGCTGCCATAAAGGCTGTGACACACAAGTGCGGTTGCGAGTTACACAAACAGAACAAATGCCCAGAAGCAATTCTGATTCAAAAGGTTTGATGCCACCTTCAGAGATTTTTTTTTTTTTTCCATTCTTTTCCACAGGCTGGCAACACCAAATTTAATCGAGCTAAACTGCTGAATGTAGGATACCTAGAGGCCCTAAAAGAAGCAAACTGGGACTGTTTCATTTTCCATGATGTGGATCTGGTGCCAGAAAATGACTTTAACATTTACATGTGTGACAGACAACCAAAGCACCTTGTAGTTGGCAGGAACAATACTGGATACAGGTAGGAAACCAGGAATATGGAAGGAATACCAAATGGGAAATGCCATGTTACTGGTAACGTTCCTCTTCTGATGGAACTGTATGCTGGTATCTACCCTTGCTCCTGACACCACATTTCTGGTGGTAACACTTCACCTCTCTGGAGAGCCTTCTCATAAAAGAGAACTGTATGGACATCTGTGAAGTCATCCCCGTGGTCATGTGTTCAAATGATCATTGTCATCATTCTGGTTTCTGGGGTGAGGTTAAAAGGTGTTCTGAAAGGAAAGCAACATGCCAGAGGTGGTGCAGAGACCTTCTGTTGAAGCTACAAATGCATTTGAAGCCTCCCGGTCCTGTGATTTGAGGGTGTCATCTAGCTATAATAAGACTTGCCACCTGCCTTTTGCTGTTGAAGAGGAAATGTCTGATATTGAGAGCTCAGGTGTGAGAGTTTGACAAGGAATAGGTTTGTAATTTAATTATTTGACTAGACACTGTCTAAACCAGGATCATTCTGATTTTTAAATGAGTCCCCTTAGTGCCACTGTGACATAAATTATTTGAGCCTAAAGTCAGGTTCAGTCCACCTCAAAGAAAAAAGGGCTTCCAAGCTTGGTGAATTTAATGACTAGTTTTTTCACTGAACTTACTTCTTTCAAGATTCACCTCTTATGTCATGTCATTCTAAATATTAATTAGAAGTGGGCTTTTCAAAAGCTGATCGCAAAGTACTTTGAAGTAAAGCTCTGCTTCACTTCTGCATTTCCTTTGTTAAATATACGAGGAAGAGGCAGGATGTGCAAATTCTTAGACAGAATAATATTAATTTTCCAGTCATTTAGTGTAAACTGGAACAAGCACAGATGAACTAGGCTCATGACAGGCTTTTGGAGCATTGTGCCTTGCAGAGAGAATGCTGAGGGCTACAGGATGATCAGCGCACCAAAGCGTCAGAAGCATGGCTTTAGTTATTTGACAGGCATGTAAAATCCAGCCGAGTAGCATGCACAAAGCTTGAGGTGCTTTACTTAACCTCCTGTGCCTTAGTTACTGCAAGCGTTTTGCTTAATTGTGTGCAGATGGATTTCTTTGCTTTTACTGAGGGAGCTTCGTACTATTTATTTCCTCATGTTTCTCCTGTTTGTGGAAAGGAGCTGCTAGCTATAGATCAGCTTTAAGCTTTGGCTCTAAAAAGTACAGATAAAATGGTTTTGTTGTCAACACCCTGCAACAGTATTCACTAGGTTTGAATTTGATCTGTGCTTTTGTGTGAGGGTAATAATGCTCTGCTTCCAAAGAAATTCCTGGATATACATGCAGGAATTCAGATCCTGAGCTCAAGAATGGGACCTAAACTGAGCTGAGGCCACAGGTTGAAATCCCAGTTGGGTGACCTCAGTGTTTTGTTTAGGCTGAGGTAAACATACTGAGACATGTTACTCAGATGAAGTTGAGAAAACTGAAGTTGTAAGTGCTCCACATTAACACAAAATATCTTGGGCAGAAATGAGAAGGGGGTGAGTTGTGGGTTTCCTGGGGATTTTTGTTTGGTTATGTTTTTTTTCCAGGGGGTTAACTTCTATGGTGATGTAGTGCGTGGTGCAGCCGCGCTCTTTTGGCAACAGTATTCACTAGGTTTGAATTTGATCTGTGCTTTTCTGTGGGGGTAATAATGCTCTGCTTCCAAAGAAATTCCTGGATATACATGCAGGAATTCAGATTCTGAGCTCAAGAATGGGACCTAAACTGAGCTGAGGCCACAGGTAGAAATCCCAGTTGGGTGACCTCAGTGTTTTGCTTAGACATGTTGCTCAGATGAAGTTGAGAAAACTGGAGTTGTAAATGCTCCACATTAACACAAAATATCCTGGGCAGAAATGAGGAGGGGGTGAGCTGTGGGTTTCCTGGGGATTTTTGTTTGGTTCTTTTTTTTTACCAGGGGGTTAACTTTTATGGTGATGTAGTGCATGGTGCAGCCGTGCTCTTTTGGAGAGCAAGTACCTTATGTTTAGCTACATAAACTACAACACAATTTTAGATTCTTCAGGAAAAAAAGGTTTATATGTTAAAACTTCGGGTGGGAAAGCTCTTTTATCTCAGCTATTTCCTTCAAACCAGCAAAACATCCTTTCCTAATGACCATTTGTATTGTATGGTTTCTTCAGTGAAATTTTAAAAATCCCAGAGGAGCTGATACTCCCTTGTCCTCAGGGAAGAGAATGGTTGAACGCTGTCACAGAGGTGCATATTTGCAGATGATCTCAGCAAGATGGGAGATGTAGATGATGGGAGCAAGATGTGCCTGGGCCCTGCCAGTTCTGCTCTGCTTGAGGAGGGTTGGGTGGGCAACACTGTCCTGGTTACAGCTTCAGCTCCTCTGGCGTCTGCCTCTCTGGCGGTGTAGGGGAATTAGGAGGTGCATAAGCAAGCAGTGAGGTGCACACATGGATGTGGGTGGGCAGTCAGTTCCCAAACCCCACCAGGCTGCTGGAACGGAGGGGCGTGGGACTGTTGGTGACTGGCAGTGCAGCCCAAAAAATAAAAGGCTGGGGATGACTCTTCCCTGGTATTCCTGTTTATGGGACCTCCTTGCTGTCCATTTCACCTGCTCACTGCATTTCTCTAGAGCAGCCCTGGCAGAAGTCTCAAGGTAGTAATGCATAATTAAAACTTGATAGGTTGTCTCCTACCTTATGGTTGGTCTTCTCTGGGAGAAGAGAGAAAAAGAAGAAAGCAAGGAGGAGTAACAATTCCAGAGGTAGAAAAAACCTGCAGGTAGAGCACGAAAGACTGCATCTGCCTAGAACAATATTTTTTGGTGTATTTATATAGATGACACCATCTTTTTGGAAGTATATCACAGTCCCAGCAAATGACAGCTGAAGCCTTTTTTCAAGACAAATGGAAAAAGCATCATGTATACAGGCCCTGGTCTTTCAGGAATACTTTGTTCATCCTGGTTTCTGCTGGAAGCGCAGCACAACAGGGCACAAGTAATCCAGAAGACTTCTGAAGTGAATGGATGGTAACTTCCTGACATGGGTTGATCAGAGCTGATGAAGGGAAGTGTTCTGCTGAACTTTATAGTTAGAAATGAGAAAAAAACTGGTCAGAGATGTGAAAGTAAGATACTGGGAGGAGTTTAGGCAAATAGCAGGATCACAACTCTGGAATTCCTGTTCAGGGATATTCCTGGAAGAGTCACATGGGAGATGACCCTGGGAAGAAGAGGGGTTCAGGGGAGCTTGTAGATCTTCAGCGGTTGCCTCCATGCTCGAGTGGTCCATTCCCATGTGCAGGAAGTCAAGCAAATGTGGATGGAGGCCTGCATGGATGAACAGGATGTTCCTGAAAAACTCTTAACAGGAAGCATGAAAGAGATGAAAGCAGAGTCAGGTGACTTGTGAGGACACACAAAATGCTGTCTGAGCATGCAGGTGCAGGGTTAGGAAAAGCAGAGCCCCTCTGGAGTTGAGTCTCACAACTGAGTCTCTCAGTTGCCCTTCTGCAATATGACAGGCAGTGTGAAGGGTTTCTACAGGTGTGTCAGCTGTTGGGAAGGGTAGGGAAAATGTGTACCTGTGTTGCGGGGGAGTTGGTGACAAACGACAAGAAAAAGGCCAAGATATTCAATGCCTTCTCTGACTTACTGGCAAGATTTGCCTTCAGGGATCCCAGGTGGTACAAAAATTTGGATTTATGAAGACTTACTTAGGTGGAGGAGGATCAAGTTAAGGAACACTTAGGCGTACCATAAAACCATGTGACCTGAGGGGATGTATCCATGAGTGGTAAAGGAATTGGTCACTGACATTGTAAGGTGGTTCTGTTATCTTTGAAAGGCCAGGATGACTGGGGGATGTTCCTGAAGACTGGAACAAAACAAATGTCACTTCTATCTTCAGGACAGGCAAGAAGGAGGACTTGAGGAAGTACAGTTGGTCAACCTCACCTTTTAATCCCTAGAAAGATGTTGAAGCAAATCACAAGTCGTGCCCGACCAGCTTGGTAGCCTTCTCTGATTCCACTAACTTGGTAGACAAGGGATGAGTAGTGGATAATGTTTATCTTGACTATTTCCCATAACATCCCCACTGATGAAGTGATAAAGTACGGACTAGTAAGCAGACAGTGAGATGGACTGAAAACTGGCAGAACTGCTCAACTCAAAGGGTTCTAATCATCGGAGCAAAGTCCATCTGGAGGCCAGGCACTACTGGTTTACGCCAGAATTTGGTACTGGGGTTGGTACTAGCTAATATCTTCATTAGTAACCTGGACAATAGTGAAGATTGCACCCTCAGCAAGTTTTCAGAAGACAGAAATCTTGGAGGGGTGGTGCTTGTACCAGGGACTTTGTCAGGCTGGAGAATGTGGCCAACAGGAATCTAAAGAAGTTCCACAAAGGGAAATGCAGGGTCCTGCACCTGGATACAAGTAACTCCATGTGCCAGTAGGTGCATAGGCCAACTGTCTGGAAAGCAGCTTTACAGAAGAGGATCTGGGCCAGCGATGTGCCTTCATGACAAAGGCCAGCAGCATCTTGGGCTGGGTGAGGAGGGGTGTTGTCAGCAGGTTGAGGGAGGCGGTTGTTCCTTTCTCCTCAGCACCACTGAGGTGATGCCCGGAGTGCTCTGTCCAGTTCTGTCTTCCCCAGCACAATAAAAATGTGGACGTACTGGAATGAGTCCAGAGAAGAGCCACGAAGATCACAAAGGGACTGCAGCATCTGAGAGACGGAGAGAAGCCGAGTGGGCTGGGACTGTTCAGCCTGGAGCACAGAAGGCTCAGGGGGGATTTCATCAATATATATACACATCTAATGGAAATCCTCAGAGATGCTCACAACCTGAATGGACATGGTCCTCAGCAACTTGCTGTAGCAGACCCTGCTTCGAGCAGACGGGTTGAACTACTTGATCTCCAGAGGCCCCTTCAACCTCTGCAATTTTCCTGCGCTGCTATGATGGGAGCAAAAAAACAGCCAGGAAAATACTCTGAGGGAGGTTGCGTGTGGTGGTTTTGGTGGGGGTTTTTTTGGTGGTTTTAAATTGGATTCATAGTAAACCAGAAATGTGTTGCACCTTTGTTTGTCTGGCATGTAAATTGCTATAATGGGTACTGTCTAGCCCTGGCAATTGGTTCATCTGTTTATATTTGCATACATTCTGAAATCAAAGGGCAATCTACAGCCACGTGCACATTACCTCTGCAGTTGGCAGTGGCTGTGTTGTAACACTTACCTTAAGGACCAAGAAAGAGGAGCACATCTTGAAGAAGCAATTAACAAAATGGTATAAGATAAATAAGTACGGTACTTTTTAAAGTAGGTGCCATTTCCAGGACAAGCAAAGGTAGAAATTAGAAATTAATCTCCTTTAGAGCTGAACTCCATTATGTTAGGTTATTAAGTAACTTGCACTGTACCTTACCTTGGAATTGGTCCTGCATGATCCCACAGCACGTGCCCGCTGGCTGTGATCTGACGTCATTGCAGGTTTTCCAGATTCAGTTTTAAGACAGTTGATGGCTTGCTGTCATTATTGCAAAGCTTTGGCTGTGCAAGTGCAGAGCTCTGCTCCTTTTCTACTCATCCTTAACGTGTGAAGTGTCTTTTGGCCAGCAAGGGCAATCATGTAAAGATTGAGAGAGAGAGACAGAGAAACTATTGAAGAAGGTTTTGTTCTCTCAGTTGGAGAGTTACTATTTTGTTCTGGCCTAAAGCAAATCGTCATCTTTTAGTGAAGAGAAGAAGAGAACAAGACCAACCTCATGGGTTTCTGTACACCTGGCTCTGTGAAAGACAAGTCTAAATCCTGAGTTTCAGGGTGATATTTTCATTGCTGATAGATATTGACCTTTAATTTTTCATTCTCTTCTTGTGTACTTCCAGGTTACGGTACCGGGGATATTTTGGAGGTGTAACTGCTCTAACAAGAGATCAGTTTTACAAAGTGAATGGATTCTCTAACAATTACTGGGGTTGGGGTGGAGAAGATGATGACCTTCGAATCAGGTAAAAAGTTATTTATTTATTTATTTATTTTAAAGGCTAGAGAGAAATGAATGTGGAGGAATTGGTTTAAAAAAATATGAAAACAAAATCAGCGTGACTTCACACTTAGACTCCAAAGGTAGAACACTATGGGAGCCCTCAGTTCAGAAGAGTCTTGCAATGGGGACAGGAAGTGCAAGATGCGGTTCTGTGAACAGTTTCTTCTTCGCAAGGGTTAGACTTGCTGCAACCCAGTCCTTCTCCTGACAGTGTTATTGGTTGAGTGTGGATTTCATTAGGTTTGTTATTTTTTCTTTTCTTCTTTTTTGTTGGTTTGGTTTTGTCTCAGCCATGCAGTATTTATATTCTTGCTTGGAAAATGATTATAATGGAAATAAAAAGATCGAAGTCTGGAGTGTGATTTGCCAAAGAGATACGAGTGTCTTAAGTTCCAGTACTTCACGAGAGCATGGGAGTGTTTTGGTGGGATTGAGTTTTTCACATTCAGTGAACTACCGTAATTTCCTTCAAGCAGGGCTTAGCTGGTATGTGGGTGGTGTTGATTATAGTTAAGATAGTGAATAATTTGAATTTTAGAAAGACAGCATGTATGTGCATATGCCCTTTGCTCTTGTTAAAACTAGTTTGGCAGACATGCTTGTGAAAGTAGGAGAAAGTTATCAGTTTGAAAGGTTTAGTGGGACAAAGAGGTCAACAAAAATTTCCTGTTGATCCTTTGCCCTTTGCCTACAATCTGAAAAACTGTTGCCTACAAAAAACCCTCTAATACTGCATTACTTGATAGTGAAGGGAGAGAGTGGAAAGAAAACAGAAAAAACCACAGTCCAACAAGCTCTGCTGGCAGAGCCTGTCAATTTGTAACTTGAGTATACTCTGGCGTTCCTGAGTGTTTATCCTTTTCAGTTGCTTAAATATGCAAACAAACATTTTGGGGGAACTTAAAATTCATATCCCTCATGATGTTAAATAATTACACTTCTGTAATCAAAGGTGTTAAAGTTAGGAACTTCCAAATGAAAGTTGTGGTTTTTTTTTTCTCTGTGTCAGTTCAGCAAATTAGTCAGCTGTATCTCAAGAAATCTAAAAGGTCTACTGGAAACATGGATTACTGCCTCTTCTTAATCACAACTTTTTTTTTTTTCTTCTTTTTTTTCCCACTCTACTCTTGGCTAGAGGCACCAGCTTCTTCTCAGTGACCTCTTGGGAGCTACTTTTTATAGAGGATGGCTTGGTACTATCTTATTCCCCAGCTTCCCGAGAAGTGCCACAGTTCCTGAGTGAACAAAGGTGATAGTAGTCCCTGTGGGCAGCACGTCAGCAGGATTTACTGAGGGTCTCCATGATATTTGCCAAGCGGTTGGAATCTGACGTGACGCTTGCATGCGGCACCTTGTAACTCTGGAGCCGTTGAGGTCTTGGTGTGAAAACCAGAGAGTATGACCCCAAGCCCACACTGCAGCTGCCCTTGCCTCACACTCTTCCTCTTGGGCAGATCTCGGGCTGGTGGCAGGGTCTGCAGCAAGTGGGCACTGGGCAGCTCTCTGAGGGGTGGGGTGTTGTACGGAGGGATCCTTGCAGTCTTCCTCGGCGAAGACAGCAGATGGCAGCATCCCCTTCAGTATCTTCAAGAACTGGGAGCCGGAGCGCGCCTAGGTCCTGCTGTTCTGCCTTTGCGCTAAATGTGATGGGCTCTTTTGGGGCCCCTTCCTGAGGCGTGCATCCCAGAGATTTGTCAGATCACTTATGTTTGTTTGATAATTTACTGCTACAAACAGTCACGGGAAATCTGTAAGGGGATAATCCTTCAGCTCTCGAATCCTTCCTTCAGCTCTCGAATCCTTCCTTCAGCTCTCGAATCCTTCCTTCAGCTCTCGAATCCTTCCTTCAGCTCTCGAATCCTTCCTTCAGCTCTCGAATCCTTCCTTCAGCTCTCGAATCACTATTGCTCTTTCGGTTACCAATGTGACTAGCAAAGGCCTGAGCTATTCCTTAATTCCACTGACATGAAGTTACACCTGCTTCTGACAGAGAAAAATCATTGTGCTCCACGGATACACTTAAGGCCAAAAGCTCCAATCAGGTGCCTGATGTCAGACACTTAAATCCATGTATGGGGCTTAGTACCTCTGGCACTGTTTGGAGAATTTTTTCTTTATGTGACCAAACAAAAAATTTGCAGCTGTCTGTCACCTATTAAAAAAGAAAACAAGCTGCCTTTTTTTTTTTTTCTTTTTTCTCAGTCTTCTTAGGTGGAGAACTATCACGTGTAAGGGGCTTTATTACAGGAATTGAGATGAACTTGTTGCACAACATGTGCAATCTTGCTATGGACCTCTTAGGTTAATACAGGGCAGTACAAACTAGACTAGCCAATACTAATTAATGTAAATGTATTCTGTTGTATAGTGTGTGCTTAAAGCTGTGTGTGATCTCTGCTACTGTAGCTCCCTGATTCTGTTCAAAAGGAAGGAGTATCTGTCACCCTACTGGACTTGCTCTCCGGAAACAGCTTTGAGCCCCATTTCTCTGACAAAATGGGTTGTGCAAGAGATGCAGATGAGTTTTCTACAATTCTCTGTACTTGTTTCCATGGCATCTACAGGAGATGGAAGCCTTCAAATGCTTTTTGTTTGGTTTTTTTTTTTTTCTTAAGAGCTTGTTTATAGTCAATGTTTTACTCATGGCATTATTGCTTCTTCCAGGGTTGAGATGCAGAAGATGAGAGTGGTACGGCCATCTGCTGATGTAGCCAGGTACACAATGATCTTCCACAAACGAGACCATGGTAATGAGGAGAATGGAGAGAGGTGAGTAAAGAACAGTGTTCTACCTTGCATTGCCTTGGTATGTGGCTGACAGCCAGGCACCTGGGGGCCAGGTTCTTTGCTCTAGGTCAAACAGACATTTTGTAGCCCCTAGAGGCTCTGGGGGACGCCCCTGTGACACCCTTGTTTACAGCTGGCAGCTGCTGTTCTGTGCATGAGATCTGCCTGGAACTGCCTGGGTGATGTTCCTTAAAAATGTATAAGTTACAGTTACATGGATGTGGTTTGAGCTATGAGTTCAGAGATTAAACTAAAGCATCTTTTTGCCCATGTCTGATTGTCCATGCGGAAAACAGGAAGTCCTTCCAGTTCTTAAAGAGAGCCTACAGGAAAGGAGAGAGACTGTTTATCAGGGAGCGTAATGACAGGACAAAGGGTGATGGTTTCAAACTGAAAGAGGGTAGATTTAGATTAGACAGCATGAGGAAATTCTTTTCTGTGAGGGTGTTGAGGCACTGGCACAGGTTGCCCAGAGAAGCTGTGGCAGCCCCCTCCCTGGCAGTGTCCAAGGCCAGGCTGGATGGGGCTTGGAGCAACCTGGGCTGGTGGGAGGTGTCCCTGCCCTTGGCAGGGGGGCTGGAACTAGATGATCTTTAACCCTTCCAACTTAAACCATTCTATGATTCTACACTACCTGGTGAGGTAGGCAACAGGAGACGCCTTTGCTCATTAACCCCGAGCTACTCCAAAATGAACACAAATGCTGAGCTTTGCTTACTTCTAGGCCTTTTCTATGATTCTATGAAAAGCACTGCTTTACATTCCCAGTAGATACAGAATGGCAGTAGCTCTACCTCCAGGTTTACTAGAGGGAAAGACCTCAAAACTCTTCTCCTATGCCTATCAGTGAAGACTTTCTCCTCTTTGTCCTCAGGATGAAGCTTCTGCGTCAGGTGTCTAGAACGTGGAAAACAGACGGGCTGAACTCTTGTTCATATAAACTGCTCTCTGTGGAACATTACCCTTTATACGTCAACATCACAGTGGATTTCAGCATGCAGCCCAAGATCTCATAAGGGCGAGCATCACAAATGGCAACGGATCATGTTTGTGGCTGCTGTTGGAGCAGATGACTCCCAGCACTCAGCTTGAAAGAGAACGGCGATAGCACAGAAGAAAGTTTTTCTTCACAGCATCTCATTGATTGGTTGAGAATTTCCCTTTGTGAGGACTGGAGATGTGGACTGACCCAAGGGACAGGCCCTTGCGTTCTTCTATGCACTTTCTGCTGGGACACCTGCAAAAGCGTCCTTATCTGGGCTGGTCCAGTGGAAGGACGTGAGTGGTTCCTGAAAAAAATAAAATTATTCTTGCAACTGTTCCTAAAGTTCTCATTTGTTGTAGAAGGAAGCCCTACAACAGCCCAGCCCTGCTAACACTGCCGTGACTTCAGAAGAAACAGGCCAGTGTTATTAGAAGCACAAGCTTTCTTCACCAACTACAAGCTTGGTGAGAAGAGCCACCTTCTTCCAGCCTGAGGAGAAACTGCTTATGTGTGAGGGAAGGACAAGTAAGGGTAATGGGTGGGGAGATGTTTCAAACCTCTCAATAAATACTCTATTGAATTCAAAAGGCTTCTTTTGTCCTTGATGAGCTGAACTCACCCTGCTGTGGGACTGTGTCAAAGGGAAATTGCTGTTCCCATTTTTCAATGCTTTGCGCCACACTGTTAGCAAAGTGTGTATTTGTATACATACCCTGGCTGTTATTATTTGTGATTCTTGTTTTAGAAGTCTAGTGAAAGCCTGTGGCTAACTAACTGTGCCAGGATTTCTGCTAAAACAATGATTAGAGCACTTTCCTTACTGTATTGTATCTAACTGCCCTTACACCTGCTTGGTGGGTATCCCTTGCAGGTAAAGAGTTTCCTTTAGGGCACAATATAGTAAGAACTACATGCCAGAAAGGAACTTCTGCTTACTATAATGCTTTAGCTAGTTGCTACATTATTCCAACTGTAGAGAAGATGAAAGCTTTAAAAAAAAAAGGGGTTTTGGGTGGGATAGATGCAGCTTTTCAGTGAGCAGGGAATTTTAGCACCTACAAGTAACAAGCAAAAATACCATGTCATACCTGCAAAATAACTGGACCACTGACTGATTTTTATAGAGAAAGAGAGATTATGGAAGGGACAAGGCCATGGGCACACTGTCTCAGTCTGACAGTCAGGTAAGTACAAATGCATTCCTGGCAGGGTCACAGCTCCACTGTATTGTTTCACTTAGTTTCTTCTCTAGTATTTTATGCTGAAGACAGATAAACCTTGAAAGATAATTAATGTTTGAGCAACAGCTGAAATACTAGATTAATTTCCCTATTCTGAGCAGGAGGTGAGACTAGGTGACAGCCTTGGGTCCCACTCCACCTCAATTACTTATAGATACAGTAAAAACCTTTAAACACTGATGGATCAGGCCAGAAAAAACACAAAGACTTAAGCTCTGTTTTCAAGGCAACTTTCTCCTTTATTATACTCATTAAGTATTCTAGAAAAATCTTAACCCAAATACATAACTCTATTTTACTCAAGTTCATAAAAGATATTTACAGAACTGTAACTGGCTTCAACACTTTCCCAAAATACAGCACTTCAGAGGCTTGTCTGACAGAATGGCTTCCATCCCAGCGAACACTGAAGGACAGCAAAGAACATCAAGCAGGACAGAGCTATCCAGGTGTGGAAGAAAGGTTCCAGAACACTTGGGTCACCTTACTGACACAGAGACCGTGACCCCCAAGGCCTGAGAGGTAGGTCTGGCTCAGTAGTTAGTTTTACAGTGCTTTGACAACGTTCACAGTAAACCTCAGCCTGTTTATTAGCTGTGACACCCTACACCAGAATCCTTTTCTTCTCAGTCTGAAACAGTTAGCAAAGTGAAATGCATGACAGACAAAAGGATGAGTCTCAGGTGGTGTAGACTCCACACCACACCAGGAGGTGGGGGCTGAATGCCCATAGCCATGCTGAGCCCAAACACTGCTTTTGGTTTGACTCTCTTAAGAAAATGGGGGAACGTATCCAATGTCCACAGTGATGTTGGTATAAAGGGGATGCTTCGTTCTGGAAACGAGCTTGAACTCTAATGAATTCATTCCATCATCTTTCCATGTTTTTCTGGTGTTGTGTCGGGAAGCAGGCCTGAAAGAAGGAAGAGTACAGTTAGATGGACGAGCAAAGCAGAAGAAGCTCCATGGGGCCAAGGGTTTAGCAGATGGAGGCTGCTAGCACAAAAGCCCCCCCCCAAAAAAATTCTTCCATAACAGACTAGAGAGAGAAAGCATTTTGTAAGACAAAACACATTAGAATAAGTTCACATTGAGTATTCTGGACAAGGAGGACAGTTTGGACTGGAACCTAATCAGACAGGGAGACCAGTGAGGAGGTAACTCCAGTATGCAAAAACCCCAGAAACTGGTAGCAGCTTAGAGTGACCTGGGAGTGCACCACAGGTGTGCAGCAGTGGTAAACATTGAGTTGTTAATGGAAACTCGAGTTTCGAGTTGACAGAGGGAAGTCTGCACTGCAGGCATGAGAAGCCTCCAATCCACTTGTCCCAACACTCTCCTCCAGCTCTTTTATGTAAAACTGAGTCTTCACTAAGGTTACTCATGTCTTGAAACTTCAAATACCGCTCTCCGCTACTTTAATGACACACTGTAAATCCAAACAGATTCAAGAGCAACTTTTTATTGTACTGAAGTTACAAAAAATGCCCCTTCCCTATTTACAAGGCAGGCAGTATTTTTTTTTTTTAAGTTTTGTTCCCTGATGCTTAAGTCTGCTATGTGTTAGCTTCCCAGCTAGCACATGTCCTTAACAGTAGGAAACTAGCAGAAACCCTTCAAATGCTGAGACAGGAGCACAATGATTCAGTTGAAACTGACTGGAGCCTTCTTTAAACAGCCACCTTAAAGCAGAAAACCAAACAGTGGCATGAGGTATAATTTCTGCCTGATTTGAGGAAGATGATGGTAACAGTGTATGGGCCACAAGGCAAAGAGCTGCCTCCAAACCGACCCCTCTCGCCAACAGTTACCTTCTCCAGGGCTCTTCTGTCTCTTCATTGTAGTCCATCACTTTGTAGCGCCCAAGGTGAGGTGATGTCCGGACTATTTTCATTCCCGCTAACCGAATCCTTTAAAACAACAAACAAAATGTTTGCCAAGGCAAACATGCCATTTCCAGCCTTAGCGATAGGGAAGCTCAGAGTCAGAGATGATTTTCAGTCTTAATGCAATCAGAGCAAAATGCAGAAGCTGAAGGGAAGGAGCTGAACACTGCAGCGCCACATTATCTCCTCCAGTGAGTTCTAACCAGGCTTGGGCTTAGAAAGCTCCCTACTGCAGTGCGCTTGGACAGGGTACAAAGGGGATTATAGGAAGCAGGGAATTAATAACAGCATACAGCATTTAAGAGAAATTCCTGTGGATCTGACAACTGAGCGTTACTTTCATTTCCTTGTAAGAGCAGAGCTTTTACTGCCTTGAGGTCCATCACCTAAATTTCCAACAAGTAAACAAAACCACCTTGCAGTTTCTGAAAGCAAGCCAGTTCTGAGTTTCAGATCCAGACTAAGCCCCTGTTCTTTGAGAAATGCCGTTCAGACAGTCTGGTTAGAAGGCTGGCTTCATAAAAGATTAGTGACAAATACAGGCACCAAACACATGTGAGCTGCTCAGCTGCAAGACAGTTAGATAAGAAAAAAGCAGACTGGAGGCTCAGAATTCTAAAACCAGAGCTCCTAGAAACAGCATTTTTGGTGACTTTCAAGCAAGCTGTTGCTGATGGCATCTATGTTAGCTTGTCAATAAAAAGTGCTTGTAATAGTCCTGGGGTTAGCAACCCACTGTTATCACAGGGCAGTTCTTACATGGACAAAATTCCTGTGAATATAAGAATGAATGTTTGCTCAGTTGAGGTTATCTAACTGGTATGTTGGCAACAGCTGATTGCCTTCCACTGAGATCTGGTAGAGCAGCAAGCTGCACTGAAGCAGAAATGTTATAAAGCTGGAAGAGGCTACAGAACTGAAAACATTCATCGGTCTAGAGCCAAACAATTACAGCACTTCACTGACAGCATGACATACTATTTTTTCAGACTGAGTCTTAGACAAGGTTTCTTGTTTTCTGAACATAAGCTTCTTGCACATTCAGTCAAAGAGACAAGAAACAGCAAGAATACTAAACTAGCTTTGCTATTACAGTTTTGCATTGCAAGATTACACTAAACCCACACTGAAACAGTTAACACATTCATTTACTGTGTAAAGAACCCAACAGACTTTCCTGTAGGTTGGTAAAATTAACCTGTAAATGGTTCCAATTAGAGCCCTGTTTTCTTCTAATAAAAGGTAGATCCTGGCGTTTGCTAGGACTAAGTATATGAGAGAGTACCACAGTCTGTCAACTCTAAGTAGCAACGAGCATGCTTTTTCACTAACTCTGTTTTAACAAGCAGTATCTCAGAGAGAAAACAAATAGTAAAAAATATAAATCTTTACACAGGACTTGGACATTTCAATGTCCAATTTCAAATACTAATTAATTTTGTTGCTACCTAGTAAGAAGGGCTTGCGCACCTCCTAAAATCCAAATCCCAGTAGATGCACTAAGCTGGCCATGCAAAAACAGGCAGCTCATTCCTAATGTCCCCAGGTTGAGACTTCAGCGTGTGAATAAATCATTAACAGGCAGCGTCCATGGCCTCGGTGTACCTAAGGGCCAAAATATTGCTAATCATTAGTCCAAGCTTTCAGAGAAACACCACATGATTTACTTCCCTTCAATAAAGGGCTGTTTGATGATCTGCATAACCTACTTGCCTTAGAAGATTTCTGTAAGAAAGTGCACTCCTATGCATAACTTGCCTGACTCTCTACCACAGGTACCAAAAACCACATCAGATGCCCAGGCTGTACACTAAGACAAGCTGAGTAGACCCAGCACTGTAGCTTCCGATGTAAAGATCTACTTTCCTGGTGTTCCACTCCTTTAGTAAATGCTGAAGCTCTATAAACAAACACCCTTTTAGTTAGCTTTCTTGGAAGGGAAAAGGAGGAATTCTACATTAGAAAATCTGACTTTCAATTCCCAGGGGAATACTGCCATGTAAAAACTCCTACAGTTCTCAGAAAAGAACACCACAGAAACTGTAACTTGTCACACTGCACAAGATCAAAAAACACACAAGGCCTTTATTGTCAGTTTAGTTTTATATACTGCACATGAGTAGTGCAGGATGATGAAGGTGCACAGTGCAACTACAAAGAATAAGGAAGCTACAACCATGATTTTGTACTTGAAGAATTCACATTAGGCAGAGTACTTGGAACTAAATTCATTGTATTCCCTTCTATAGCATGCTGCTGCCATGGCAACTGAAGTAAAAGAAAAAACATCAGATCTTGCTGTCACTGACACACAATAGTGCACAGGCTTCTCCATCACCCAGCACTGAAGACAGAAGTTAAAATTCCTCATGTCCATTAAGTCCAAGTATTGGTGATTAGGTAACACTTAGAGCAACTTAAATGCACTTAAAACAAATTCCCAACTGTCTGAGAATTATTAAGTACCTCCTTGGTTTTCTTTCCTGTCAAGCTTGCAGATTCCTTCCTTCCCTTGGGACTGTCAACACCAATGGAGTCACTTGTCAACTACTGGTGGTTATAAACCCTTTGATGCCCTCCAGAGCGACTGAAGGTACAAGGATGTAGAATAACATTCTGCCCTCCAGAGTCTGAGGAAAGCTCTGTCCTTCCAACACACAATGACTGGCTTTAGAGATTCTCAGCATCTTCTGACATGAATCATTCCCAATGCCAACAACACTTTAAGGAACATCATCTTGGTTCCTTTCTTAGGGCGATACTATATATTTCAACAACCAGCCTGGTTCTATTTGAAGCCTGTCCTGTGTATTGGTACCTTGTAGCAATGTCATCGTTTTCACCACCACTGCCCCAGTATGTGTTCGGAAAACCATTCATCTTCATGTAATGTTCTGGAGTCAGAGCAGATACACCCCCAAAAAAAGACTTATATGGCAGACTAAAAGAGAAAAAGAAAAAGAAACGCATCAATATTGAAGGCTAATGCCAGTCCTCTCCAAGCTAAAAAGGTGATCCAAGTCCATGTACAGTAAATACATACATCACACAGTCATTACAATGCCAAAACCCCAAATAGCAAAACCAGTGTGATTCCTGTCATGTTTCCTCCCCCTCGTCATTTTCCCTACCTTCCCCACCAGTAGAGCAAGATAAAGCTGGTTCTGAAATTCACATCTTGGGTGAGTTCAAAATACTTGCCTCCTATCATACACCTTTCACAAGATCCAATAATTCCTGTCCTACACTTTTATTCCAGAAAAAAAGGCAAACGGAAATCTGCCAGTCATTTGCCAAACTAAGCTACCAGTGGAACAGGAACTGTTCAAGATGCACACTAAGGTCAAGAATACCCTTTTCTGGGGAAGCCACTACTACAAAACTAACAAACAGAAAACTTCTTAAAGGTTGTTTCTTTCCCTGTCTCCATTTATACTTTCCGTGCAAGAAATGTCTCGATTAGAATACAACGCATCCAAAGCAAACAGAGGCACTTACGTGTACTGAAACTTATCCATGGCACTGGCCATGTGCTTGGGATAGTATTCGTCGCAAACATACAGGTTATAATCGTTCTCAGGTACTAGGTCGACATCATGCAGAAGAAGGCAGTCCCAGTCCTCATCCTTCAGGGCTTCCCGGACACCGATATTAAGCAGCTTTGCTCGGTTAAATGTACCATTCCCCACCTGGAAAAGACAATCTACATTTCTTCACCAAAACAACAAAGGTGTTAACTCAAAATTTTCGTTAGTAAGAAAGCCTTGTTCCATGGAATGACACCGAGACAAAACAACACAAACTGCAGATTTTATACCCCAGACTCTGAAAGTGTCACCCATCCTCCTCTGTGTCAGGGCACCTGCAGAAGGCTGACTTTTAAGAGACGAGTAAATCAATCCTCAGGTATACATCCACACATCAACACTTTTCCCCAGACTACTGCTTTCTTTAAGTTCTTCCAAGAGGAAAAAAAAAAAAAAAAAAAAAAAAAAGGTATCTCGGCCAAACAAAAAAAGAACACTGCTTCTCCCTCCCAATCAACTCAGTTTTAATTAATTAAGAGTCCAAACCACTAATCTTTCGCAACATGAGTCCATGTAAATTAAAAATGGCTGTTTGACCTGCATAGGCTGTCCCACAGCAGGACGAAGCCATACTAAGGATATCCAGTTTCACTTCAGCATTTACTCTCAACAGTTCTGCTCAGGGGTCACACTGAGAAGCTACAGACAAATCACATCCAACGTTAAGAGCTGAAAATACAAGTTAGCACTTAATGACAACTTTATGCCTCTAGAAGAAGAAAAAGCAGAACCAATCAATAGTGGAATGATGATCTTGACAAAGAGGTATGGTATTTCAATCATTAGCAGCTACGGAGATGGGACAGCATATAACTGGCCTCTTCTCGACCTATGCATAAAACATTACTTCCACAGTAGAAGATTCAAATTTGTTGTTCAGAACTTAACCATTAACTGGGAGGCTCTGCTATACCACCAGACACATTTGATTTAGATTTACCTGCTGAATCAAGTAGATACTGTAACTGAGCTGCTGGCGCTGCAAGAATGGATGAATATAGTAGAGAAGATGGTGAAGGTACTTCTCCTGGTTCCTGTAGGCTACAAGGATGGCTGATTTGTAGCGGGCCAAGCAGTGAGGCGGCCTGTAGCGGCCACCAGACCGAACAAAGGGATTTTTTTTGATGATCATTCTTTCACTAGGGAGCACCCTGAAGGTGATGGTTAATGGACCAACTGTAAGAAGCAACAGGAAAAAAAACACAAAAAACCAAACAGTCATGTTTCTCAACCTTTATTCAATCGTATCAGATTAGCTACATATGTTTACTATGACAGACACCAGTCTACATGATATTTTTCACCACTGCCTGCTGGTCACCTCCCCACAGCTCAGCACCAGGTCAGCAGGTGACCTGCTAGAGGCATCCCGAGTCCTGGCACAGCCAGGAAGTCGCACCAGGCTCCCGCACAGCTTGTTTTTTCCTGGCATTGGCTTCCTGCTGCACAAGCAAACCTTCTGTGTATTATTGCTTAGATGGGATACTTGAATAAATGCATTCAGTGTGAGAATAGTGTTGAAAATTAAGACAAACAGATATATCTGCTATTGTTACCCATATGGAAGCCTCTTTCAGAGGAGATTCAAGGACAAAGATGTCCAAAATGATATTCAGGAGGTTGGGGGAGATGTAGTTTAAAGCCTGGATGAAGACAAACACTTTAGGAAATGTTAGCTTTATCTTAAAGTAGTGAGAAAAGGTTCCAGAAGTAGAAGATTTATACACAAATCAATGTGTCTTAATGGTTTCAACCACTGGCACCTTCTAAGAAAATGAAGCACAAATGTAGAACAAGATTAAAATCTATTACTTAAATGAACTAGAAAGATACCTTCAATTAAATCACAATTAAAAGCTGACAATTTCAAATGACAGTCCTAAGTAGAGCCAAGAATTCATTACAGGCCATGCTGCCCAAAGACAAAATATTTTTTTTGCACCATAAACCTGTGAGGCAAGCTTTGGGTGGTTTTATTTTTTTTTGTTTGGTTTTTTTGTTTTAAATAAATAACATATGAGAGGGGGAGTGGGGAGAGAAAGCGCACACAAATATTTAGGCCAGGTGTTTTGTAGCTTTCATTTGAGAAGGGAAAGGTAGGACTGTGCTTTAAGTCTAATTAAGTATTTAAGCAGGTAAACCCAGAAGACACTTCTTTCAGCCCATCCTACATTCAAGTCTCTGTTACAATTCTAATGAAAAAAAAATTAAGCCTGCATTCACCCACATCCTGTTTAATTGACACAGAAGGAAGCAACAACCCTCCACCAGTTTGGGGGTTTTGGTCTGGGTTGGTTGGGGTTTTTTTCTCCCTTTTGTTCTGTTTTTTTGAGCACTAACAAGGCTCAGGGACTAAATATGGTATCAGATTGAAACTGTCCATTCAAAACTGGGACATGTTTTGCTAATACGTGGAAGATGGTACGCCTCACATTTCTAACGGACAAACCTATACTTGATGTCTCCTTCCTTCCTCGAGAAGCCACATAATCACATTTCCCCAGGTCAGTCTAAGCAGCCACTTATCCCACTCCTCACACTGTTAAAAAGGTCTCTAGCCATTATGACTGCTACTCCATGGCTTGTTTTTTTTAGTTGGTCAGATTTTGTTTGCTTGTTTTTAAAAAGCAAACCTGGATTTTGCTTGTCAGAAAGATCTTGCAATAGCTGACTCCTAAGTTTTTCAGTCTTTCCCTAAGTATCTAAAGCACAGGGGAAATTTGATTTTGACTGCTGCCTTCAGTAGGAAACTGTAGTACCTTGCCGTCCTGTTGTACCTGAAAGACTTCTTCAGAGAATCGCGGTGTGGGCCCATGAATATAGGTCACATTTACAGTTAAACTTTTATGATGTTACTACCTACTTCCACACAGGCAGTTTCTTTTTCCGCCTTTAAGACAATCACGTTTCAGTCCAACACTGTTTTTAACCTGTGCATTATGTTGCTTTTTAAATTTATCAACTCCCTGATTATCAGATCTTTTAACTAAAGCACCACGAAGCACTAATTGGGTGGCAACGGAAGCTTGCTAAGTAAACGTTATATTCACATTGGAATTTCAACTACAGATCATTGCTCAAAAGGAAAGCCTAAGAAAAGGAATTAATCCCTTTTGCTTGCCCACAAAGGCAAGGCTTTGTTTTCTATAATGCAATCAGGGCTCTCTGCATTGCAGAGTAAGATTCTGTAGCGATAATCCTTAAATCAGAAAAAAAAAATCAAATCAAATCTATATTTGGACATGAGGGTTCGATTAAGATAACGTGCGATAACTTCACTTCTGTTGCCACCTTCCAAGCATATAATCCATGAGGGTAACATTTACATTCTTCTGTTTTTTCAAGATGTCATGTCCTCCCAAGCTGCCTGGCTCCATACTTCAAACATCTCAGTTCAGAAACTCAACCTAGTGTATGTCAGGGAAACACAGAATAGCTTCTTATTCTGTGACTTTTCTCCCACAAAACCTCTGTCTGCCCTACATTCCTTGGCTACAAACTAAATTTTGGCTCCTGGGTCTCCTTCCTGCCCAACGAACAAAAGCCTAATGCACTGTAAACCACTTAATCCCAGACGTGAACAGAGCAGTTGCAGGCTGGACCAAACAGGGAAAAATAAAACCACTAAAGCACAGCTTTGGGAAAATAGGAAAAGCCCATCTTAGAAATGCTAGAAAGCACAGGATCCCAATGCGGACGCAGTACGGAATCAACACCCGGGAGTGTCCAAGCAATTTTCCACAGCCTAGTTCCTGCACCATCACGTGGAGGGTGTTTAATCAATACGAAACTTCAGTGCGTAGAGTCAAACTCAACAGCTCCCTGTCCCTATCGTGGGTTGGCATCAGGGACAGCCCATTCCCTGCTTGCTTTACTTTCTAGGCAAGACATGTGACTATCAGAGTGATCTACTGATTTTGACCAGACCTATCCCATCTTAGAAACGAAACTACACGACTTCAAAACTTCTTGCTATACATTTAAAGTTACATCTATAATTACCAAGTTCAACCAGAATAAGCAGAATTTACACAAGCTAAACAAATGGGAATAGTAGCATGGATGAATACCTCACTGAGAATGTGCAGCACCACACACTACACTAATAGGGTCATATTTGTGTAATTCTATCACTGTTTGCCAACACCTTTAATTTAAGCACTGGTTTCCAATGACAGAATACAAGGCTGCCTCAACTGCACCTGAACATTTATTTCTGCATTACCACCTTTCTACTTCTCTTTAAATCCATGGCAAGAAACTCTACTAGGGAAGCATCCATTAGAAAATGTAGCAGGAGCTCCTCATTACCACAACAGATGGTCACGCTCATGAAAAGATTAGGACAGATGGGAGCAAAAGGGAGTAGCTACTATAAGAAGGGTTTGGAAAAAGAAAATCTTCCATAGCAGCAGAGGTACAAACAGAACATTCAACTGTTAAAAGTCCTCAAAGGCCAAACCAACATACCATGCATGAAGTAAGGTACCTCTTAAAAAAATAAAAGCCCCCAAACAGACAAACCCACCAAATAGACAACCCCCCCCCAAAACCACCAAATGAGACCCGAGTCTTCTAGCATGAAGCTTCCTCCTGGTAAGAGGAAAAGATGAAGTGACACAACACATCTTGTGTTCAATGCAACAAAGTCAGGCTTGTAATTTAAATGCTACTTGTTAAGTTTGAATAAGCAAAACTCTAGCATGTAAACATGTTGCTTTTTCCAAAAATAAAGGAGAAGGAAGCTGGCAACTGATCACTTCTGCAGAAGCTTTAAGGGACCTTGAGTAATTTATTCACAATATTAATGAAGACACTGAAAATCTAATACAATGCCTTCCAAGGTGTCAGTCACAAAAGGTTTGATGGACGCGCTAAGTGTTAAAAAAAAGTAACATTAGTCAGCAAGAGTCTAGTTCCTCCAAGGCAGAGATGTTTAGCAATTACACTTGAATTCTTACTCCACAGCCCTGGAAGGGCCAAGATGCCGTAGATTCAGGATGTATGAAAAAGTCGTATGAGCTGCAAGCTGATCTTACATTTAAACAGTTATCAAAATGCTCTACTATATGCCTAAGTGGGAAAAGTGCTGCACTTCATAAAAGCCCTGATGCAGAAACCATTTAAGGCATTTGGCATTCCTCCAGTTACTTTAACACACTTTGGAGTGGACACAGTAACTTATTACCAGCTCTGAACTGGAGACTGCAGTCCTCAGGAATTGACTTGAAATCTCATTTAATAGAGTTTATGAAATGAATATTAAAAGACATTGTTCTCTCTGATACATGGCTCCCAAGAGATATCAGTCCCGTACGAGATAACAACCAATCAAGACATTTTATAAAGTATTTATATATCTATTCATACGTGCCCATCACATACAAAACAAAAGGAAACCATCTTGCAGAGTAGCATACACTTCTTGGTTAAAAAAACCAACCAAACAAACAAACCCAAACCATCCAGAAGAGGATAGCATAAGTAATACTTAGAAGGAATAATTTCTCTCTTATATTTAAAGGGAAATATAAGACAGTAAAAGTTAAATTGTAGCAGAGCACTCATTTTTCTTAAGCTAAATCTGTATCAATGCTCCAAGTTATCTGTGTTTCACAGCAACAATACTTCATATGCTCAACTCTATTTTTTTATGCAGAAAGACTTCCACAATTATTTTGCGTTGATTTTCTTTTTATCCCAGTCAACTTACTGTTTGTTTCTGTCCATAACATTACGTTTTTCCTTTCAGCTCTGACATAGCACATGTAGGCCAATCCCCTCTGTTATCAGCAGGGGTAGGGATGGGCAGAAGAGGTCTTAAAAAGATTTCACAGCTCTAAGCATACTGATTAGTGTAATTTTACTCTGTGCCTGCCTCCTCATTTACATCAGTACTTTCGCTTATCTGATGCATTGCAGGCACCTCGTTTTGTTTGGTTTCCCTTTTTTTTTTTACTTTTTTTTTTGTGGAGATCATTGCTTTCTCATTTGATTCTTCTCAGGACAGTGGGTTCTTGTCAGTAGTGGAGACAAGAAGGGTGCATGCACATTTCTATTGCGGTTTTTCAAACAAAACAAGTCACACAGAATTGTAGCTTCCCAAAAGAACCAATGGGCTGTAGCTAGTGATGAACAGAGACTGCACTAAGACCCTTACAACTGGCATCTGTGCAAAAAGGATCTGTACTATTAGTATTTACTTAGCAGAGCAGTTTCCAAGGGAAACGCTGAAGCATTCACCCTGAAGTTATAATACAATTTCAGCATACGTACTGCATGCATTTCATTAAACTTCAGCAACAGAGGAAGGAAGAAAATTTCCCAAAAGAACAAGCATCATTACAGAGACTGCAGTCTAAAAAGGCTCATCCAAAGCATCCCAGTAGGGTTCTCTAAGTAAGCAACTTGACACAAGAGTAACCACAGCACTGGCTTTCCACACTTCCATCTGTGAACCCAGGTCAGCCAGTTGCTCTTACTATGCTGCACATGTGATGATCAGCTTTCCTAGAAGAGCAGGACAGCTACTAAGTAGTGCTGCAAGACTAGTTATATGCAAGACTTGGACATTCAGAAACCTGTGCAGTACACAAAACCAGACAAGGGTAGCTTAGTACAGAGTACTAAAGGAAAGTAGGCATCCCCAGATCAGCTGTAAGCACATGCCTAGAGAATTCATCCACTCCTGGCTGACCTGAACTGATTCGCTATAACCAGAGATACACCACTCTACTACCAATAAACTTGCCTCATGGATTTGGCTTTGCACTTACTTAAAGTTTTTCAACTGTTTTAGTCATGCAGTAGTCAGATGGATGCTGCTCTGATTTGGCCCTAGTGTAAATACAAATTAACCTGTGACCAGATTTTTAAGTCTAAAGGGGAAGTTTCTAAGCCTAAATGACATATAACAACCATAAGCCAAAAAGACCACCGTGAAGAGCAAAGTGCCAAGCTACATTCTCATGCAAACAATAAAGCCAAAATAATTAGTTAACCTTTCATATTGAACTACAGGACTTGATACAAGGCTGAGACAAAGAACCTAAGAATTACAGTGCATCAAAATCATGAAGTTAAAGTACAAACACTGGCACATTTTATACTGAACCACCAAAAAAAATAAAAGTGTTACTAATTCAGTATTAATGACATGCCCTGTTTTCACTCTTGTTCTATTGTCTCCATGCAGTCAAATCCTTAATATTGGAAGTTTTTAGATCAGTAAAACAACTTTTCCTTGTATGACAAATAAAACCAAGTTAAGATGAGAGAGTTTTGTCAGCGTAAGTATCACATCAGTACACCACTACTAAAGGGGAAACGTTTGAAAACCACAAATTTACAAAGCGTTCAGCGTTATCAGGTACCAAAGCAGCATTTCAAACACTTTTCAGTTCATACCTACCAAATATTGGTGACTGCGCTGAGCAGTATGGCATAGTTTCTTCATTAGGAGCTTGGGTGAACAAGCTGAGGTTTGTATAGACATCATGAGTTTTTGAGTAATCCAGAACCTGATGGGAGCCTAAAAACCCACGAAACACATTTGAAGGCCCACCTCGGTAGAGTATCAGGATAAATACGGCTTGGAACACAAAAAGAAACAGCAGAAAACACGGATTTTCGACACGAGAGAGGGACATAGCTTTTAGCCCATGCTCTGGAATCAGCCGGGTGAGGAGTTGAACTGCATTCCACAAGCTACGGTTCTACGTTCAGGGCTACATCGCCGTGCACAGAAGACCTTCTCCCAACTTTCTGAGGCGCCAGCGCGCCCCTCCAGCTTGCCTCGGCTTCGTCACGACGCTTGGAGCCAAATCGCCTCTTCCCAACGAGCGGGACCGGAGAAAAAAAACCCACCAAAACTGCTCAAGGGTGCCCAAGGAGCACAGGGCCACGGGGGGTCAGGGGCACAGGTCCGGCGCCCGCCCTCCCACCCCCCT